TTTTTGCTCATTTCTCGGAGGCAAAATGAGCAAGAACGCTTATTTGTACATCATTCTAGACAGAAATAAATGGCCTTTTTAGAAAGTGAACCATGGATGGGGAAATGTTGGCAGTTTTCTCAAAAAAGGCTTGAATTCAGGAAGTTTTAGATTTGCGTGGTTTTGTTTTGAGTTGCAAAATCCACTTGAACATGACGCTGCTTTTTTCGAAGTTTCTCAAGAACCATTTGAGCCACAGAATTCGTTTTGGCATCGTTAGATAGAAAATTGAATGGGGGGGTCATGAGCCCCATGACCCCCCCCCTGGATCAGCCCTTGCTTAAGTGCCCATCAAAATCCGGTTGCACCAGTCGATAGTCACTTATGCTCATTACCCGCAATTTTTCAGAATCAGATCGTTTAACAACGGACTTTCTCCTGTGCACTCAAACGCAATGAAGATGAAGAAAAACAATGCTTAACGACTTTCAAGCGTCTTATTAGAGCAATTTGGTTCAAGGATTCTTTGTTCCCCTTTCTGCGTCCACCCCAACAGCGTTGGTCTTCCTGTACCACCTCAGTACAATATTAACACTGGCAACACTAGATATCCTCAGGTCACATTAAGCGAAACAATGGCTCATTTAGTTAAGCCTACTTACAATGCCGTTTTAATGAAGAACTACAGGTTCACACACCAGGGCCTTTCTTCATGTGGGTCATAGACCTTGCCGCTAATCTATTAAGTTGGCCAGGGCGCAAAATTCCAACTATTCTATTACACTAATGAAGGGTGTGGTGGGGCAGCTAACACCCCATATTATATCCAGCCCTTAATTGAAACCCCCGACTCGAACATCGACTAATGTTATATGTGAAGGCAAAGGGCACTAACCTTAATGAGAGGACTTCCACATTAGGGATCCTCCTAAGCAGAGAGACGTCCACCAATTCGCTGCCCCTGAAATGACCCAAGGGTTGAAATAGATCTGGCAACTAAAGCTGCTCATTTTAGTGGCAAGGGTGGACGAAAACCATTATTAACATCACCTACCAGCAGTTCAGTCTTTTGATCTTGGACAGGTCGGAGATTTTGGTCCTGGCAATCACCATTTCTTCAGTGAGGCGCTTCGCCATGGTGACTTAAGGGGCCCCAGATCTACCGGGAAACTGAGCACTTGGATCTGGTCAAAGAATGGTAACGACCCGCACGCACTGCTAGCGAAGTATTTGAATTTTAACCCGATTAAGGGGCTCAGTTGATAAGCACGCAAAGAACAAATATCAAATAGTTGACAATAACTGGCAGTTGGTGAACGCACGTTACACAGACACCTCAAACAATCGTCGGAAATTCCTAGCAGTTACTGGCTTGATTATTTAGGATTAGGAGCGGATTAACCGCGAACAAAACAGCGCAAGCTCAGGTTAACTGCACTGAAACACAAACAGCTGATTATTGAATTTTTAATTCTAAAAGAGAAGTAAACATTGTGGAGCCTACTACACAGTTGCCAAATAATCCCAAGTTACCGGTATTCCTGTATATGAGGTTATACTTATATTGTTTTCGCTAGTTGTCAAAATATTATTGATCTTGAGATGCTGAGTTCCTGAGCCCCTGAGTATCCTCTGTGGTCCTGAGTCTTTCCGGCAGGATTCGGGACACAGACTACTAAACACTTGATTTGGGAGTTGTTTGCTGCTGAATCCCCAGTGGAAACCACCCTGGTGCCATGAATTTTTACGACGAGCTTGAAAATGTCCCGGTAAGTGAACTATGCGACTCGTCCAGACTCCTGAAAATGCCTGGCGATTTTTCCAGATCAAAGAGCTGGCTCGGTTGCACAACGAACATTTAATATCCGATGAAAGTTCCGACGCGTGCAGTGAGCCAGAAAACCTTCCGGTGTTTTCCATAGAGCAGATCAACTCCCTTGTAGTCCATCACCTGCCCACGAAAACGCAGCTTGTGTCTCCAGAGACATGTCGACGCGTGGCCCAGAAGTTATCAGAGCTACTACTAATCAGCTACTGTAACGTTTGCGACAAATTCTGTGGTACGCACTATAAGACCGCAAAACATCACAAAAATATTAGCCACTGGTTACGGGCTGAGCTGATGGTACAGTTGCAATTTGTCATCGGTTCGTTTTACTCAAGTTCGTATTTTCCAGACTAGTGATCCAAAAGTGACTGCCAAAGTGTATTGCGCCCCGTGCAACCTGGCCCTGAATCTGGACACCCCCGATGACCACTACAGCTCGGAAACCCATAAAAGGTATTACTCGATCCGGTTCAGATACTTTGGAAGCCACGATAGGAGGATTTTCATCTAGATGTGTGGAGCTCTACTGTGGATGCTGCCAAATTAACGTGCCCACCCGCAAACTGATGAGCAAACACATTCAATCAGACATGCACGCTAAAAAGGAGCTGATGAATCCACATTCTGAGTATGTGCCAGTCCTTGAAGAGGCGATCAACACGGCGGGTTTGAATGCGGAACTGGTGCTGAGACTCAGCAAGCTGGTGGGCCCCAATATGTGTCTTATCTGCCAAGACCGCAGCAAAAAACATCGATACTCTAGGCACCACGTTCCTAATGTTCTGGCGTGGATCCGGTCCAATGACACCAATCATGAATTTTATCCCGACAATGTTGCTCTGCTGTTCTGTGCGGCGTGTAATGTGGTGCACTTGAATAACGAGATTGCATTCGAGCACTCTAGAACTCGAGCGCATGCACTGTGAGTATCAGTCTATATAATAAGTCTATATTGTCTCATTTTCTCCAAAGCGCTCATTTCATGTTGTAGAAACGCGAAAACATACTGCGTTCCGTGCCAACGCTTCCTCAGAAATGTGACGACACATCAACAGTCCAAACAACATCGTCAAAATATTATTGATCAAAGGCAAAGCGGTGCCGTTAATGGGTAGGTAAGGTTGAATGCACTCAAGCGCTGTTGATGACTGAATGCTTCCGCAGTTCCCACGCCGAGTTGCCGGGGGAGAGCCAAAGTGAAAAAGACAAATCTGCCGAATGCAGCAAGATAGAAACTGAGGAAGCAACCGCAAACATTGAGCGCATTTTGCAAATGAAAGTCTTAGAGCAGCTTGAAGAAATCGCGAACAAGTTTCTGGCTAACAAAACCGTTTCCAGCAGGAATGCACTAGGATTGTTGAAAAAAGTGAACGAGGAACTCGCCTCCATTTCCAAATTGAAAAAGCCCGACTGTCCTTCAAAGCAACGCGCCCATCCAAAGGTCGCCCAAGTCCGCATGGAACTGGGACGGTTGAGGGCGATAATGGCACCGCGCAACCGTCCTTGGCTGTCCAGGAACGCAGCCTTAAACTACATGAGCAATCTCATGGCAGCGTTGGTGGCGAAAGTCACCACCTGCAATCCGGACTACATGTTCAACATACAAAGCGATTGGACACGCTGCTCTGAACAGTTGCTGGACGGTGTGGTGCTAACTACAGAGCATACTGTCTGGTGCAACGTATTGTGGGCCCTACCGCTAATCGAGCAGTTCAATGCCCAATTGGAAAGCCTGATCGAAAGCCAAAGAGACGCCAGCATTTTGGAAATGCTGTTGACTAGATAGTGAGCGATGTTTAATAATTAAATAAACTGAAGTTACACATAAGCCTGCGGTGCAATCATCCAGAAACCCGTGGTTGCATCGAGAACTGCCTCAGGAGATTTCGGGCAACCTCCGAATGCCCTGCAATAGGCAGGAATTTAACACTTATCAGCCAATCTAAGGACGCTTACCTAGCCTCAATTCGATGTAGATAAAGAGCATGAAGATGTGCACCGGCACCTGGCAGGCCTGTGCCTGATGCTGTTGCCATATTTGCTTCAGTAGTTGCCCGGCTTGGTCCAGCTGGCCTCTGATAGTCTTGGCTACCGCAATATTGTATTGCATCACGGCGTGCACGGTTTCCATGTTGTTGGGGAACCAGCCTAAAAAGTCGACTTTTGCACAAAACCCCTTCTCAAAATTAGCCATGCCGTACCTAACGGCGGCCGAGTATTGACCAGGTTTTCATCGTTGTCCTCTTGCGGTAAATGGAAGCTGATGTCCTGGATAGTATTGGGGTCCAGGTAATCTAGAGCTTCCGGGATTCGGTCACAAAGAACTAGACACTCGGCTGTGTACATGTTCCCCAATAGTCTAGAGATTGATTGATTGATTGAACGATTGAAGGGCAACCACATAACTGATATTACCAGAGGTTAGTAGAGAGATCGCCGATGAGCATAGGCGAAGCGGTCCAGCGATATGCAGCCGCAAGCTAGCGTCATCATGCGGTTTTCTCCCGAAACAAACACACAAGTTAGAA